TTTAGTTCACCAACCCTTTGAAGAAATTTTTTTGTGTGTGTGGCGATGACCGCGGGGTTGAGTTGCACTGGTCTACCCGCGGTATGTTAGAGTCGGCCCAGAGGCAGAGTGAAGTTAAGGAAGGAACACAGGTAACTATAAGGTGTAAACAAAAAGAATATCCTACCTAGGGCCAGTCTCCCCAATGGTGTTCTCATGGTGATGTGTTCCTACCTAGGGCCAGTCCCCCCCATGGTGTTCTCATGGTGATGTGTTCCTACCTAGGGCCAGTCCCCCCCAATGGTGTTCTCATGGTGATGTGTTCCTACCTAAGGCCAGTCCCCCCAATGGTGATGTCTACATGGTGTTCTCATGGTGATGTGTTCCTACCTAAGGCCAGTCCCCCAATGGTGTTCTCATGGTGATGTGTGTTGGTGTTCTCATGGTGATGTGTTCCTACCTAGGCCAGTCCCCCAATGGTGTTCTCATGGTGATGTGTTCCTACCTAGGCCAGTCCCCAATGGTGTTCTCATGGTGATGTGTTCCTACCTAGGGCCAGTCTCCCCAATGGTGTTCTCATGGTGATGTGTTCCTACCTAGGGCCAGTCTCCCCAATGGTGTTCTCATGGTGATGTGTTCCTACCTAGGGCCAGACTCCCCAATGGTGTTCTCATGGTGATGTGTTCCAGCAAAATGTTATAAATGTTTTTTTTTATCTACATATTTCTGAGTGATGTTTATAATCAAGTCTCCCTCACTAGTTACCAGTTAAGACTCCAATTAGAATACTGTACTGTACACTCATATTGCATGTACACAAACTGTTGTCTTTTACACCAACAAATTTGTAGTTACACTCTAAAATCTATCTTTTGGGAATTCTTAATAATTATTTTCGAAACTGCGGTTGAGCAACACAGAGCTGAGATACAAATATAAGTGTAGTTTTTATTGTATCTGGCGGGTGTACCGAAAAGAGGCCACCTTGATAACATACAGATCCAACTCTTATTTAACCATTGTGATGGTGAAGAGCTCAGTCGTTTGTGAGGAGAAAAGAATCAAGATTTTGTAAGAGAATCTTGAGCAGCGAAGTAAAGTTTTAGCATAAATAACCGCAGTGGCGCAACTGTGACTAACACACGTTACAAGGGAACGAGAGAGGTGACCCGGAAGCTGTGTACGTCAGGCCAACGATTGACCTAAAATATAAGGCCTACCCTGCCCCGGCATCCTGTAAGGATCCTGGTGATAATCCTACACCCTGAGGTCCTGGTACTGTACACTGACAGTACCTCAAGTAATGACGGCAGGCTGCGACTTACGTCAACCAGGACGACCTTCCCACAAGCTACACACGACCTTCAAGGAGAGGCAGTAAAGATTTGGTCAGATTACTTCTATGTCTTAAGATCCCGTCTAAAGTAACTAGTGCAGTGAAGTGTACACTTTATATTACACCACCACCACCACCACCGTCGCCACCACCACCACAACCACCAACACCACCGTCGCCACCACCACCACAACCACCAACACCACCAAAACCACCAACACCACCGTCGCTGCCTCCCCCACCACCACCACCACCACCATCACCGTCGCCGCCTCCACCACCACCACCACCACCACCAACCACCACCACCACCACCCCCACCACCACCACCACCACCGTCGCCGCCTCCCACCACCACCACCACCATCACCGTCGCCGCCTCCACCACCACTACCACCACCGTCGCTACCACCACCACCAACACCACCGTCGCCACCACCGTCACCACCACCACCACCACCACCACCGCCGCCACCACCACCACCACCGTCGCCGCCTCCACCACCACCACCACCGTCGCACCACCACCACCACCACCGTCGCCGCCTCCACCACCACCACCGTTACCGTCATAGCCTCCACCACCACCACCACCGTCGCCGCCTCCACCACAACCACCGTTACCGTCACAGCCTCCACCACCGTCGCCGCCTCCACCACAACCACAGTTACCATCACCGCCTCCACCACCACCACCACTGCCGCCTCCACCACCAATTACTGTGAATTAATGTCCTGACGATATTATCAATCATCAATAGTGTGTTGTATTATTTAATGTTTTACCAAATATGTAAAAACATGATCGTTAATTATTTTCCGCTTTGTGAAAGTTTATTGAATACATCAATCTATAATTTGTTTGGGTGTGTTGATGTATGTAATCACGCACCCTGGCGGCAGAGGTCCCATCAGTTATTAACTAAACAGTGAACAGGTTAGTCCTCGTCACCATAAGGCCAACAGCACTACAGAACTCAAGGACTATTACACAGGGAGTAACTTACTTGTATAAACCTCCCTAATAAAGGAACTAACTTCTAACATAAGATCAGAAAAGAATAGTTGCCACAGTGTACACCTCAATCATAACAACTCAATATATACCTGAGTACCTGTCACGCTGCTGCTCAACACAATAACACCACCAGAACAGTAACTACTAATTCTGCCATCGAGATAGATCATAGTTTGTCGAAAAAAGTGTTCCAGGTCACTTCCTAATTTTCCCCCAATTATAAAACAATAAAAAGGTTAAGTCACCATTAAGTACAAATACAATAGTGATGACGATATCCTATTCCAACGACAAATTGGGAAATGGTAATTGGGTTCTTGTTTATGCCTCTGGTAACCCCAGTCCGAGGTGCTGTAATTTTCCCACAAAGACAAATTAAAGAAAATCAACCAATCTTTAATCCTTATGTAGCAACAGAATCAAGACAACGATAGACAAAAAATATCCCAAATATCACGTAAATATCACGAAGACAAAATTACCATCACTGATATGACAAAGGTAAAAAAAACAAAAAAACAAAAAAAATATGTAAATAAAAGCTTTGAACGCGTAGTGAAAGCCTGCAGCCGGCCATCAACTCCCCGCGGCATTACTGACGGTACGCTACCCCTATACACAAACCCGGAGAGAGCACGGTCCCTAGGGTCGTTTAATGGCTCCCAAAAGCCCAGCCCAAAGATGAGATCATGCGCCACAGCTGCCTACAGGTGTGGTGGACAGCGGGGAGGAATGAACCTCTCCACCAGGGAACATCCAGTAACTCGTAAATGAGAAGTGGTCACATGTTCGCTAGTGCTGCTAAATCCTCTGGACTTTCCCCATTCGTAATGATAAATTAAGACAAAAAAAATAACGTCTACGGGAAAGGGTCGCGGAAAGGGGACGTGATTGCTGCCCGTATCATCATTGGGTATGACTTTGCTTGGGAGATTGGTATCCACGCATCCCCTGAGCAACGCTCTTGTGCATTATGCAGAAGACCCGACAGCCGCACCCTTATCCACTACCTCCTAAGATGTCCCCACACACAACGCTTCCGTGACGCCTGCTGGACCACCACTCCACGACCCCCTGACGGAGACACGATGACCCTCCCCATACTGGCCAGATATTATGCAAATAACATTGATTATGTGTTAAAGGAATATCCTTCCTTCCTTAGGCTTTAGTAAGCCCCTTTATAATATTTATACTGTATATACTTGTCACACTTGCCAGATGCTTCTGGTGTCATTGTACAGGGGTACCTAGTGACAGCACTAGGACCCCGCTTCCTCTATCAAGGAATAAACAATTGAAATTGAATTGACAAAAAAATTTTCAAAATCCTTCTACCATAGCCAGTTAGGGAGGATTAAAATAAAATTGGTAAAGAATCAAATAAGAGTCTATTTAATTTCAGGAAAAATCAAGAAATCAAGAACATAAACTGAGACCTGACTTAGGCAGAGAGAATTAGACTTTTGTCCCATCCAGCGAGTCGGAGAGAGAGAGAAAACTACATCGGATTTCTGGAAGTTAATAACAAGCAAGATTCAATATTGACACTACAAACCCGAAACAGAATTGCCAGACTATTGCAGGAAGGAACTAGAGAACAAGAAATAGGACGATAAAAAAAAATAATACTAGTGGCAAGAACTTTCTGGAGAAGAGAAACTGACGAAGCTACACGGGATTCTATAGATGATGGATGAGAGGATAAAGTTTGTCAGCAGTGAGGATTATAAAACTGAATGTATAAAGACTGACATGGATTACGATGAGCTACAAAGAGAAGGAAGATGATGAAGGAGACGAAGCTGCAGGGAAAAAAAAAGAAATAAACTGGAGAAGAAGACAAAAAAGTAAAGATGGAAAAACATCATATTTGAGGAGGTGCAGTAAGGTGGCCAGAGGATGTAAAACAAACTATATAACAATAATGACACAGGAGGTTAAACACTGGCAGGACAGACTGTTAAGGACGAACTACCAATTATGTAAAATGATGTTGAGGGAACTGAGGGAAAAAAGTATTTCTGCAAGACAATATACGAATTCTTCCTTAAAACCCTCAGCAAAGAAAATACAATGGTGTATTTTGTATTCTACAGTGTGATATACAGGGTAATCATTAGTAGGTCTTCAGAATCACTGGCAGTTATTCACACAGTTTTTGGAACCTTTCACATCTTCTGTATACTAATGAGTCATTAAAGAATGATATGCTCCATTACTTTTTATTGTATAAAAGTTTCCAACCGATCGCCTCCGCCTTTTTTTTAATCACCACATTCTGGAAAATTACACTTGGTGCAGCGCACAGTAGTTTCTTCGTCTGAATCCACAATGATTACTGATTTATCCACGACAATTCGTGCAGTGTAAACTGCCCAAAAAATCTTCAACGATTCGTAAACTAGTTTGACCATTCTTTCACAGAAAAATTCGCGATAAGTCTACAACTTTATCATGGATTTATCGGCCAACATATCCGTAGTGTAAATGCGCCTTTAGTATGACAAGTGATGGAGGTCGTCATCCTGGCTGGTGGCGGAGTGCGGCTCTTACTACTGTTATATCAGAATAAAACAAAAAATATAAATATCCTGAATAAAATATCCTACTTTTTCTGTCACACAAACTTTTTTTTGTATATAGGAATAATATTAATGCACTTACAGTGTCACAATCTATGGTGATCGGTGGAGGGGCGAGCAAATATGGCAGCCTTTCGCCCATATGATGTTGGTGGTGGTGGTGGTGGTGACTGCTATGGCCTCGATGCCGATGATGGAGAGGTTGTGTGTGGCCCGTTCCCTCCACGCACCTTACCTGTAAACACATATTTATATAAATATTTAGATCTCTGTCTCTGCCTTAAACAAACAAACAAACAAACAAACAAACAAACAAACAAACAAACACACCACTAACACGAGCGGACATACACACATACAACACACACATGGGTGCTCTGTCCCTCCCTGCCTCTCTTGCGTTATACAGTACACAAAACACACACCTACTACACAAGGCTACATCACTTATCTAAATAATAACGATAAAAACAACTGTTGGCGTAAAGACGAACAGAAGCTGAACACAGATAAACAAATTCCAGGTTTATACATTATGAAGTCTTAGGAGACGTCACTTCATCATTACCTCGTTAAAACCAAATTATTAGCAACACCAATATATTAAAGAATGCACAAGAGGAATACATCATTGAAGTCACACCAATGCATTCATAAAGTTACAAACGTGCATTAGTGAAGCTACAACCATGCATTAGTGAAGCTACACCCATGCATTAGTGAACTGAAAACAATGTACCGGTGACGTCATAACCATGCTAGGTGTAGTCAAATAAAAAAAACTACAAGATATAGAATTATTTAATAAAATATTGTTTTAAGGAAAATGGAACATTGGTTATAATTCAGATAAAAAAAATAACTTACCTAGATAACCACACAAGGACGAGACGAAAGAGCAACTGCGTGGAGTAAATATATATATACTGTATACACAAAGACGAAATATGTCCTGTGGTGCCAGACGTGTGATAATGTTGTTGTTCTTTGGGAACGTAAGGCTACTTTTAATTGTGCGATTACTTTTGATTTTGTTAGTATAATAAGTGAAGGGAATAGTATAGTTGTAGTGCAGATGGAGACGTGACCAAAACAGTGATGTAAGAGATAGAGAGAATGTTGTAGAAGTAAAAAAAAGTGCTTACGAGGACACCAAACACAACAACATTGTACCATTACCACCATATTGCATTACCACATATCCCATGATTCCGTGTTCTCCACAGTAAAAACAACTCGTTACTTATTATCAAACACCTACAGCTGATGATGATATACCTGCCTATATATAAGCTTACCAATATGTTATGGTACACAAGTAGATTAAGATGGTACACTACAAGTTAATGGTACACATGTAGACGACGGTACACTTGTAGATATATGGTACACCAAAAGGTTATCATATCCTGCTAACATTTCCAATCTTCCATTATTACCTGTCAATTTGTACAACAGACTCAATAATAGTAAACCTTTTAGAAGATATAAATCAATATAAGATAATCAAAATAAAAACCCAAAACAAAAACAGTGGTGATGTAAGTGTTTCAGAAATTGTTGAAGTAGAGAAGAGAGCACCCAGTGACAGTCATTACCAGAGAGATTAAAGACCAACCAGATTCTCCAGCTGGTCCTGATACACCCAGCGAGGTTCTCATTCGTTCTTACCAGCTAGCAACTTCACACAACCACACACTACATAAATCACTAACACCAATGGTTCTCCAGCATTCTAATCTCGTCAGGACTTAAGCTCCCAAACACTCAGGACTACTCATCAACAAACATGCTTTTCCAACAATCCTACTGCCAACACTAGTGGTTTTCCCAACAACTTTGACATTCCAGCATCCTTGATTATTCAACACCCGTCATATTAACACCCTCCGTCTTCACAACACCTTTACCACAACACCTCTGGCATAACAACAACCCCGTCTGTGTACTGAACATGGATACCTATTCTCTATATTCAGTTGTAATTCTGAAGCCTCTGTCCTGTGGCTCTCATCAACAATGCTCTCAATTCCTAGTTACTTTTTTGTCATTTACCATAAACAGGTTTTTTATTATACTTATTATCACTTAAGTTTTACATACTCAACCACAGATAAACTAAGTCCTATCATCAAAGTTATTATTGTTATTTCTATATACACCATCCTTATCATTCATTACCTTTCATCCTTACTGCTATCCATATTTATATTACCAGAAATTACCTTCACAACTCCTTTAACGAATCAGTTCCTCAACCTCCGTCAAGTGTGAGGCGTTTATTGAAACTTGTCACAACGGATGATGTCTCTCCACCTACCTAACAGTCTTTTAACAACATCGTCACTACAAACTTATATAATACAAAACATTCAATGGTTCATTCCCGTCAACTCTGTGGCACGATTTTTCCTGTTCATAAATATATATATTTTGTAACACTCGTAACAATTAATTCTCTTCGTGAATAAATAATACAATGTAAACAAATCCATTCCCTGTAAACAAACCTTAATCCATTCGTCTCTCTGGTCCACCTCAAACATTGGCTTAAAACCTCTATTACCACACGCGGAGTTAAGTGTATTGCCCCTATATTCTTTTAACCACTGGGGAATATTATGGTTAAGCCACACAGCTCCTGCGTGATTAAAACAAAAACTCTTAGACGTTGTTATTTTAAGTTAAACAGTCGTGTTAATTGAACTATCTAATTGCCAGTTCAGCCGATTTGCGGTATACTTAACTAAATCTATCCCCGAAGAATGTTTAAATAACCAGATGAGCCGGAAGCATCAGGGCACCAGCTGTCCTGTGTGGCATGTAATATTTGCTGCTCAGGGATTATTGCGTATTTTCCTGTGGCTCATAGTGTAGCAAGAGCCTCCACCTAGGTCCTAGAGCCTGGGTTAAACAAACGGTCCATAGCACTTAAGGCTCGGTCCAAGTAAGTATCCCGGAAGAAAAACTTAAATATTGGATTAGCCTAAGTCATATTACATTGGCCTCACTAATTCATTAAATTGTTTGTTACTATTAAAAAAGAGATCATCCCTAAATTGTTAACTGAGACTATTCATTTACGTTGTTTTATTCAAATAGGTAAAGATTTTTGTTATTATGAGAAAACTCTGGTAAGGTAGTGGTGAGGTTATCCAGTATCTCACCACTTTTATTCTGGGTGTAGTCTGGGAGAGAGAGGAAGGCCGTGTTCAGAGTTAGCTTTAAGAGATAGTTGTTTGTTATCCTTTGTTGCTATGCCTTAAATTTCTTATATTTCTGTGTTAAAGGGAAATTACAGTGTTTTAGTTTAATAGTTCCATCCAACTGTGTTTTGTCGATAGGAAAGACACCACCTGGTTTGACTGCCTCTATCTGTAATGAGAGTTGTAGATCATTGTCCCTCCCGTAAGATGCTGGGGACAGTTATGGCATATTGTGTTTTTTCCCGCCTCACCCGGCTATAGTAAAGTTAAAAGGGGAAAAAATTTTCACACGACATTTGAGTTATAATGTGTTATTGACTACAGAGGAGTTCCTTTACACACACTGTTTTACCTTGTACCGTTATGTATGTGTACAGACAGTACTCTCCAGGGTCACCTTGAGTTTTTTTTGTAGAACCTGCTGGCGGCCGCTTGAGAATGTTTTTTGTGGTCTAAGTATTACCACCACAGTAGGATAAACTAGAAGAGAGAAAGAAAGAAAGAAAGAGAGAGAGAGAGAGAGAGGAGGGGGGGGGGTGTTTACAAAGAACTTAGCTGAGGTTTTAAATGTGAAACAGATAGCACTCGCTCCCTGTGGGGTTCGGAAGATAGTCTCTAGCCGTCCAGTGAGCTAACAAGTCAGGGAGCTAATAAGTCCTACATTAGACCCGAAACACGTAAGTTTTTATATGGCTTAACACCCCACTCTACTCAAATATATCACATGCAGTATGTAACGTATGTGATTTGTACTCTGCAGGTTTTGACCGAATAAAGAACATTTGAATCCTACGTGCAAGAGCCTCATTATCCCACAATCACCACGGGCTGTTACACTAAATAACAAGGAAATATATTTCTTATTAATTCGCTTCAAAACAACAAACGCCTCGGTTAGTGCAGTTGAGGCCTTAAAACAGAGTAGAAGTAATGTGTGTGTTTCTCCTTTCACCTTTCCAGTGTTTTTTAAGAGATATGTATATTAGCTGATTCTTAGCCTATGGCCAAAACTTGATCAAAAACGTGAGTACACAAGCAAAGCAGTGAGTAGACCGGACGCACATCACTCCACTGTATACCTGGACGTAACTATAAACACTATGTCCTCTTTCTGGTTTTACGGCGGTGCTCCTCAGAATCTTCTTATCATTGATTTTCCCGCTGACGGAAATTTATGATTCATGTGGTGGCGCTTTGATCCCACCGTCCAGGAGAGACCAGCACAGCACGTTCAGGACCACGAACTAGACACTTTGAAGGGAGAGACTTTATTAACACACCCACCACAGAGGATACAGGGTAATTTGCTGCACATTACATCAGTCACCGGAGACATAGACAAGATCTCAATTAAAATGTCTTAAGCTGTCATAAAAAATTAAGATTTGTGTGTTATAAGTGCGGAGAAAAGCAAACAATAATGTCAAGATTAAAATTTCCTACAATATTCCAGCTTTCCTTCTCTCGAGGTTGCTACAGGTTAGTTTATTTATCATATTGAGAAAGTTCCTTGGTGTAATTCCGTAAGCCTTGTGTAAAGTATTCCTGCTATAATACTTCCCGAGTCTTTTGTGTTTATAACCATCGTTTGACCTGTTTGAAATATCTCCAACATTATATTCCACGTCTTTTTATATGTGAGAATCAGAAATTTTAATCAGGGGCCGTGGATGTTTCTTAATTTAAAGCTAACAAATGCAGTGTGTGTGTGTGTGTGTGTGTGTGTGTGTGTGTGTGTGTGTCAAGCTATACTCCAGTCTATACTTGTATGTAGTTATTCATTGTTCTATTCTTCTCTACCAATTTTATTATCATTACACTCTAATTATTTAATTAACCTTGCTTTCTGGAGTAACAAATCCCAGTTCACATAAAATATTTCTCTCTCTTGGTCATAGAAAACATAAGTAACTCCTAACTTCTACTTCACTTCCTACATCATATCCAGATCATCAATTATTATCAGGATATAAAAAAAAAAAAACTCAAGTGTTCTTTTTCAACTTTATTATCCAAATTAGTTACATGT